CAGAAGAAACAATCCACTACCTCTTGTTGCTCATTCGGTAAAAAGGACAAGCCAAGGGAGAGTGATGATTCTAAAAAGAAGCCCTCGTGTTGCTCATTTAGTAAAAAAGATAAGACCAAGCAGGGCGATGATTCGAAAAAGAAACCCTCGAAGAAGAAAAAATCTACATCTTGTTGCTCGTTCGCAACAAAAGATAAACCAAATGAATCCAAGGACTCTAAAAAGAAAAATGACAAGGACAGTAAAACCAAAAGCCAGGAAATCGTTCCAAAGAAATCTCCCACAGCCTCGTGTTGTTCCACAGGCAATAAGGATAAGTCCAAAAAACGCCCGCCAGATGAAAATAAAGAAAAGGCGCAGAAGAAATCATCTACATCGTCGGGCTGCTCATTTAGGAAAAAGGATAAGAAAAAGGAAGCCGATGACTTTAAAAAGAAGCCATTGTGTAGCTGGTTCTGTAAAAAGGATAAGTCTAAGAAAAAAGACGGTTCTTCAACTTCTTCGTGTTGTCCTGTGGGGAGCATAGATAAGTCTAAAAAGACTCCTCCAAAGGTTAAGAGCCAAGAAAAAATGCAAAAGAAACCAACCACCATATCTTGTTGCTCAGTCGGTAGAAAGGAAGAACATAAAAAGATAAACGATTTCAAAGAAACCCCACTCAAAGCTCAAAAGCAAGAAAAAGTTCAAAAGAAATCATCTACTGCATCATGTTGCCCCAAGAATAAAAAGCCAAAGAAACCAGCTGATTCGAATAGGAAACCGCCTAAAGCTGACAGTCGGGAAAAAGTGCAAAAGAAGTCGTCCCCTACGTCGTGCTGTCCAAAGTCCAAAACACCATCGAAGTCTGCCGATCTACGGAGGAAATCATCTCAAACAACTTGCTGGGGAAGTGGTAGCAGGGATAAACCGAAAAACTTGGAAGACTCTAAGAGAAAACCAACAAAGTCCCAAAACAAAGCAAAAGTCCAGCCGACGTCGTGTTGCAGGGGCAGAGAAAAGGAAGAACGCGACGTTAAAAGCAAAAACAAGAAGTCAGTCAGCAAAACATCGCAAAAGTCTTTTTTTTCATGCTGCGTATCACCCGACGAAAGAACGCAAACGCCTGCAAGAACTAACGACAGGACGAAGGAGAAGCAAACAAAGCCACTACCCAAAAACAACCAATCACAGTCATCCTTCTGGTCATGCTGTACAAGCGTTAGTACCCGGAAAAAATCTAAAGACCGGCAAAGTGAAGGCCCGATACAAAGACAGAAGGATAACAGAAAGAAAACAGCACATCAAGTAGAGATGCCACCAAACTTCTCATACTGCGAAGCGCTCTATAATGAATTAGAAAACCTAGTCATGCAAAATCAGTGTCCAAAACAAATTTCACAAGCACAAAAGAGGAAGGAACCCGCAAAAGAGGACACGAAATCCAAAGGCAGTTCTTGCTTTCAACGCAGCAGTTCGAAAAGCGAAAAGAGCCCATCCAAGTCAAGTCTAAAATCTCAAAGCAATGAGAATAGTGAAACTACCAGCAAAACGATGAGATCTCAATCAGGAGGAAGAGCTAGTAAAAAAAAAGACAAGGGCAGCAGCGAAGCGAAAGCGCAGGAAGCCTCAAGTTCTACCTCTAAGGACGATACACAGCGCCGCGGCAAGTCGAAAACACGAAGTTATCGCCACCGAGCTTCCAATCCGCCACCAACACCGCCAACATGTCACTCCAGCAGTGAGACAGATATCGAAAAGTCCTTTGTAGCTGAGTACATCCTGGGCAAACCGCACCAGCGCGCAATGTCCTATGCACAGACGAGAAACGTGAAGCATTATATTATATTATCTTGGGCAGCAGCGCAAAAACAAAGTGTGCTGGGAATCCTAACAGACCGCCAAATTTAAGTACTTTTAAAGGTTATAGGATGGGTTGTCAAGATTAGCTAAAACACGACTACACTTTACATGACCACACAATGATGACACACAAATGTGGGCCGTCTGATGTAGAATGTAGTTTTATTTTGGTAATTTTGTCAATTCAAACTTGTAAGCCATTAAAATTCATCAGTGTGAACTTCAAGAAAGAAGTCCTTCTGTAAAAAAAAATAAAGTACCGATA